CTGCCACTATCAAACGGTCTTTGCCCTCGCTGTTCTCGACCCTGGTCTTCAGCGATCTATCGTTTGTGCGATGATTGTCGGCTGCGTAATGCAAACCAGCGCATCCAAAATGACCAGATTGTAGCAGGAGGTGGTGCTGCTGCTGATCAGCTACGTTTCACGAAGGTGTGTTGTCCTCTAGACTCCCTACACACTCGACGGTTCTGTACCGTCTGCTGAATCATGACGAGACTAGGACGAGACGCCAGAGGTCCTCGCGTCCGAACAGGCGCCAAAGTTCTGTTGACTCCCAGAGCCTCCAGAGCCTCCAGAACCTACATCCCCCAGCTCCCTCACCTTTACCGATAGCACCTCCTGGAGGAGGAGGTGGTGGAGGAGAAGGACAGGATCACCTCTCTGGCTCGCAAGACCGTGCGCTCTCTCGACGAGAGGACAGCAACTGGTGGGTGCACCTCGCCCGTCTGCGGGTGCGGCCGTTCCAGCAAACATGGACGGGTCGGTGTGCGTTCTGTGATGCCCTCCTCCTGTCAACGGAGAAGGGGGGTTGGTGCTGCTCGAATGGCAAACAGACGGCTCCCAAACTTCCTCCTTATCCTCCTGACTTCCAACGTTGGCTTGATACTACCGCCTTGCCTCTGTCTGCTTTCAGTCGTCGTTTGAATTACCTTTTCGCTTTCTCCGCCCTAGGTGTGACAGAAGGTTTCGTTCACTTCGGTGTGCCTTCTGACGTTGTCGTCGCGGGTCGGGTCTATCATCGCCTGCTGAACCTGTCGAGTGGCGATCACAGCATGCGCTGGTTCCTCTATGACGAGGCAGCCCGGACGGATAAGGCGCTGGTCACGAAGGTGCCCTTGACTGCTGTTCATCAAGTGAGACGGCTGCTTCAGTCTGTCAATCCATACCTCTCAAGCATTCGCCACGCTCTGCAGCAGGTGCCTTCCGAGGCCACTCCGCTGGCCGTCGAGTTGAGGGATAGTCCCGCCAGTGGGGAGATCGCCGCGATTATCAACACGCAGAACCTCAACACTGTGGACTGCCGCAAAGTGGTATTCTTTCGTCACGGCGGCCGAGCGCAGTTTGTCCACGTTCTTTCGCGGCACTATGAGCCTCTCCAATATCCATTGTTCTTTCCCCACGGAACACCCGGCTGGGGTGTTCCTGGTCTCGGTGATGCCTCTTTGCGAGAAGGAGACGCGACGGCTACAGAGACTGGCGCACGTATGCGTATGCCCGAAACTTGTGGACTATCCCAGCTGCAGTGGTGTCGATCGATGCTTCTAGCGGAGCCCCGATTTCTCATCTTCGGTCGTCTCACGTGTGAGTATCTGGTTGATATGTACTCGAGGATCGAAGAGATGAACCTCGACTACCTGAGACGAGCGAGGTCGTTGCAATCGTCCGGCTTTGACCCTGCCACCGACTCACTTGCGTATGACCATCTCCGCAATAGGTTGCCGGCGAACTTCACCGGCTCGCGCGCGTGGACGTCCGATCACGTTGCGGACGCCTTAGCCCTGGCCCGACGATTCGGGAAGCCGACCTTCTTCATCACCATGACGACGAACCCCGGATGGCCCGACATAGTTTCCGCTCTGAGATCGGGTCAGCATTTCACAGACGCGCCTACCGTTGCTTGCCGCGCTTTTCACATGCGGCTCCAACATCTGAAGGCCTTCATCAAGCGCCATTTCGGGCGAGTTATCTACGCCATCACTGTGGTTGAGTTTCAGAAACGCGGCCTGCCGCACGCACACATGCTTATTAAAGTCAGTCTCAAATCAACCTCGATCTCAACATCTCCTACCTTTTGCTTCCCCCATTCCTCCCCTCCTTCGCCGTCCCCCCCCTTCTCCTTTCTTTCATCTTTGAGAAGCAAGGGCTACTTAATATCCTTTTTCATTCCAGGTTTCGCCAGAGCCAACAATCGATGCACTCGATGCTATCATTTCTGCTGAACTGCCCCGATCTCCTGCAGACGCTGCCCTCCGTGCCTCCGTTCTCCGCACTAACATACATAGTCGCAATCACTTGAACGGGCCATCCTATTGTAATAGGGACGGCCGTTGCAGGTTCGGCTTTCCTCACCCTCTCTCCCGCCGAACAACTTTCGATCCTCAAGGTCGCATTCACTTCCGTCGTAGGGAAGAGGAAGACGCGTGGGTCGTGCCCTACATGCCATCCCTCATCCTCTACATGGACTGCCACATTAACGTGGACGTCTGTTTATCTGTGAACATCTTCATGTACCTGTTTAAGTACCTGTTCAAAGGCCCCGACCGAGCTAACTTCCGAGTGAGTGACGACAGTCCAGCGTCAGATACGCCCGACGAGTACAAGGACTATATCGCCGCGAGATATCTTTCGTCCTCGGAAGCGGCGTATCGCATCTTCTCCTTCAGTATAGTAACGAAAGAGCCCTCTGTACGATGCCTCCCGGTTCATTTGGAAAATCATCAGCT